GCGGAGCCAACGATGGCTTACGATAACACCGCAATATTGCCTATTCTGTTTTCACGACCGGGTACTAACACTTTTGTGTATACTCTACTCCGAGAAACTACAGGAGCATATTGATCCTTACCAAGTCGCCATCACTGTCATCTTTATGAACTCGACCCAGATATGCTTGTTAGATTACCCCCAACCATGAATTGCTGCAGTGCCAACTTATTGCCACCGTTACGAATAAGTGTGACGTTCAGTCATCGTTAAGTACACCTTACCGGTCATGCAGGTAGCCCTGATTGTGAGGATCATGGTACCCCCAAAAAACAGCTGAGCACATCTTGTGCGTCTGCTCACGTATCGCGCAAAGGAATTCAATGACCACCATCTAAATGAAATGCACCAAGCAGCAAGTTTCAAAAAAAGATTCGTTGAGACTACCACCTCGTCCTGAGCGCGATATTCTGAAAGCGCTGACCAAGTTTTCACGCGAGACAGAACTCGACAAGAGACTATAACTTCATCCAAGGTCTTGCTTCATCGCCACCTTCCTCCTCATCATCAAGCACGCCTGCTCTTTCTCTTTTCCTTTACAACCCTCCTTTTGCTAGCACTGAGTAGCAGACCGGAAAATGGATTCAGGTTAGCCTCTCAGCTTTTCTACCACAATAATCAATTCTCTCTCTCTTTCTCTCTCTCTCCCGCTGCGTTTTGTATGCTCCGCTCACGTTCGCTGCCAGGTGCCACTGTAGTTTTCACGTTACCACGTGTGTCGCACTTGCGACACCACAACACAACCCTAATAACGCACTGTCGCACTAACGCTACACTCACCCATCACAGAGCTGTAGCGCATGGTGATTCAGCAAGCGTGAAAATGATAGGTAGTGCAGTAATTTGACTATTCTTTGTACTTTCGGCTCCGTTTTGTTTCACGTGGCTTGAAGTTGTTTTATTATGAAATGAAAAGCAGTAAACGTTTGGCAGTTGCACTTCACCATCGTAACCTACAGGCTCACTAATTAAAGTTTATTGATTTATTAAAACAACCTACATCACATCACCCAAGTGGGCATTATTGTATGGTAGTGAGGAGGAAAACGTTATTAAAATCGAAAAGTGGGCACATTTGCGCAATCGAAAGAGGCATACATTTGCGCGGCAGCGCCTGCGCATTTAGAAAAAGAACACATCTTGTAGTGAAGATCAAAAAATTATGGCATATTCACGGGGTGAATGATGATGAATGGGCGAAGCTCCGGAGGGATTCATCGGTAAACTGTGAATCTTCCGTGTGATTCACCCAGTCGATCATCATGTAAAAACGTGAGAAACGCTGTGTGTGTATATACACAAATCAACTTTTATTTGTTCTTAGACGATGGATGGCTTGCGATGTCCCTTGCCTCGCGCGCTCGCACATCGGGATTCTGTCTGCGAGCGCGCGCTGCTGCCGCCTTGCGCTCTCTCCGCTGTGCAGCCTTATCCATCCGGCGACTCCGAGCGCGCGCCAACAGCGAACGGATTTTATTACAACGCTCCCCCTAGCGTACGTCGCCGCACTAAATCGAACGATTGCCTTCAACCAATGACACGCGCCATATGTGACATCATTCCTATTTTATAAGATCTCGCGTCTTTCATCAACTACAAGTACCGCTTTCTAGTTTATAACATCTTGCATCTTTTCATCATCAGCTACAAGTACCACCATCTAGTAAACACTACAAGAACTAAACGAGAGGTGGCTACATACAGGAGACGGTACCGCCATCTAGTGAACACTGCAAGAACTAAACTAGAGGTGGCTACATACAGGGGACGGTACCGCCATCTAGTGAACACTGCAAGAACTAAACTAGAGGTGGCTACATACAGGGGACGGTACCGCCATCTAGTGAACACTGCAAGAACTAAACTAGAGGTGGCTACATACAGGCTACAGGGGACGCACAGCCCACGCCCTAAGGAGCTTCGCCCCTAAAAGCATCGGCTAGAAGACCAACAACACACGCATCCAACTTATTCGATCCTCGAATAGTAAAAGAAAGAATTAGCAATGGCACCTGTACGACAGCTGACCTCACGAAATTTTTATGAATGATCCATTTCCATGTGACACGTGGTGTGGGATATTCATGTGTGAACTCTTAACAAAGCGGATTTCATCACAAAGAGGTCGAATGGAAAATCGTTAACACGGTTTATTCTTTGACTTAAACAAAATAAAAACACTGCGATAAACATAGCCACAAAGTGCGTACTGAGCCCGCAGCACCAAGACTAGGCCAGTCCGCGTACTACCCATCATTCTCATGGTCGCTCAACGATTCACAGCACCAGAGCCGCCTCTTGTTAACTTTAAAAAAACCCTGATAGAACTAACAAGGGACGTCTTACACAGAAGAACAGAAGGCCCTTGCTTTCAGTTTTGCTTAGGTGTTCCTGTGCTGCATATGCGATATGAGAGCCAGCATTGATGCCTTGGGGAAGCAGGCCGTAATGGCAAAATCTTCTTCAATGTGGAACCTCAGGGAATACTGGTGTGCACTTTACACATGAGGATTTGTGAAACGTCATCAGATTACGTTGGATTCACGGTAATCATTTAAAACTTTGTGATGTAAGTTGCACTGCAGTTGTTCACCGCAGACATTTTCTTTTTGTTCTTACGAGCGGAGTCTAACGTAGCGCTCGAGTTTCACCGCGAACACGCCGCTGGCCGCGCTTTCGGGCGCCTCATTAAGTGCGTGAGAAAAGAAATGCCCTGGCACAACCTAAAGCTCCTCTGATGCATAAAAGACAATTACAAGTTATTCATGCTTGTTTTAATTTAAATGAGTCTATTCCCAAGTATTTCTTGTCCTCGTCAGTAGATTGAACCACGTACTTTGCTTTTGAATGATGCTAGCGATTATTAATTGTCGTCTTTCAGCATCAAATTTGAATACTGCTTTCTTTTTTATTGGACAGAAGCGTGCTTGCTACCGCTGATGTGATCACCAATCTTCCAAATTTTGCCACAGCCAAATATTTTTTTCGAGCGGTGGACAGTCCTTTTGAAGGTTAAAACAGTTTGCTTATTCTTCTTCGATAGGATTTGTGTCACCCAAAGGCGTCCAAGACGTGTCCTAGCAGCACAAAGCGTCGCACTGTATCGCTGCTATTTGGGCTATTTCCACTTGTAGCTGGTGATTAGTAACAATGAAAACGAACAACTTCACTTTGAGACAACAATTATACCTAAGTCCAATAACAGGGCGGTTACGTTTTAAGCAATTACAATATAAAGTATATTTGTCGTTTCAAGTAAGTATAACCATACATTGAGTAGCTGATGCACACATTGAGTAGCTGATAAAACAGGTGGCCGACCATGACTGGAAAAGAAACAACGACATATGGATTTAGACTAATTTACACCCATTGCAGCATATAATTATTGCTTAACTGAATAAATAGGTAAGTATACTTATTTGTATATTTATTAAGGGGAATATTTAACTTGATAAATATTCACTTTAGGGCCAAGTGTGACTCACGGCCTCGGATAGCGCATTTTAGAAAAAAGTCATCTAGTTTCTTTTATATTCTGGCTTTGACAGGATATTTGTGAAATATAGACTCAAACAATGTGGTTGCGTTTGTGCTGCCATGCTGCAGCTCTCACAAACAGTCTCCGAGTCAAACGACTTTCACGCGTACTGTCATCATATCGCTTCTTAGGCACGATGGCGTTTGCATGCTGTGTCTTGCAGTCAGAAGTGTGGACGCGACGCGGCACCGACACCTAGAGCAGCGGCCACTCGGTTCGCCCCGGTCAGTGGTTGTTGCGCGGGAAGCACATTTGAGAGCGCTGCAGAATGGTGGCGCACGTGGCTGCTGTAACGTGTTTATACTTTTCTCTCGTTTTTTTTTTTCGAACGCTTTAAAAAATCACGACGCAACAGGTATGTTTTCGCAAAAAAAGTTAAGTCGGTTTTCTTGAAGACTGTCTACTGAGTAAAAACACACATGGCCCAGAATGGGACATCACAAATGTTGCGTAATTCCTCTTGGTTAATCACCAAACTAAGCGATGTATAAGATTTCCTAACGATCCAGTAAACAATGTCACTGGTCTTATTCAGTATGACTGCCAGTTGAGCATGTTGGTATAAGTCCATGATGAAACAAGCGCAATAAATACGAAAACTAAGAAAGGAAATTAAGCGCTCGTCCTGTGCCCATTCGGAGTGTTCGTATTTACTGGCGCTTGTTTAATCATGTTCTTATTCAGTTGAGATTTACAAATTCTTCGTAAATATTGTGTATCAGTAACAGGTTACGTGAAACACCCTGCAGAAACACTACACAGGCGGCGCCCCTAAAAGCTATGGTAATAGAGTGTGATCTTTCGTCATACTAGTTACTGAGGTCAGATAATAAAAAATTCACTCCATATGGAGAATAGCGTAGAAGGCTCATGGGGCTGTTCATGAGAAAAATAGAGTGCTTGGGAATGCGCCCTTTAAACGCCTGATGATTTTTTATATGATGATTTTGTATAATTTCTGTAATTATGATGTAATCTCTGCTTCTGTACTTTATAAAATTTGAAGCAATTGTTTCGTTGATATGAACTGTAAAAATGCTCAAAACGCACGCTTCACTTGCCGTTCAAAACTAAATTTCTCTGTGATGGCCAGCAAATTTGTCAAATTGGACAGGTTCTCAATGTTCAGCTCACATAGAAATCAATGCCATTTCTCAAAGTTCTCGATTCTATGATTCGCTATACGGACGATATGAGTGAGTAATATTTTTTGTATGAACAGGTTTCTCACTGAATTTATAGATGTCAAGTATCATGCAGCCTGTGCTACGAAGTGCTTAAATTAGTGTGTTGTACAATACCGTGCCATACAGAATTCCCGCATGGTCAACGTGTACCTACTTATTTTATTTGTATTGTTTTAAGGATTGATATTTTGTAAATATAACGTCGACTAACAGGATCAACGTTTCCTTCATAGTCCAGAATACCAGTCTACTTATGTCACCTGTCGGCTGGAACGTCTATGAAGAATATCATTCACTTCGACCAGGTGAGATTTTTTTCAACACTAACGTTACATACATTCCGCTGCGATCACCGTTATCCATGTTCAGACATTCGTCCTTCGTCCTTTAGGAAGACCAATTGTAATATAACATTCCTGACTACTTCGGGTGTCCACCGCGGTGCTCTAGCAGTTACGATGCTCAGCTGCTTTCCCGAAGGTCGTGAGTTCGATCCCGGCCGTGGCAGGAGCATTTTTATGGAGGCGACATCGTAGAGGCCCGTGTTCTGTGCGACGTTAGTGCACGTTAAAGAACACCACATGATTGAAACTTCTGGAGCACTCCACTACAACGTCCATCTTAACCATATTATGGTTTTAATCTTATCGTAGTTTTAAGCAGGTTCAGTCTGATGTACCAAGTAACGTAGATATTGACACCAAGTAAAGATTGACACCTTTAAATACTCCCGCTTCCCAAAAACGATTGAAGTGTGCAACGTTCTACCGCATAATATACCCAAAATTAACTATTCAGAGGAATTCGAAAAAGTTGTACTGGCCACATATTCTTCGAGGTAACCGTATATAAGCGTATTACGCTCCTTTTTTTCAGTGAAAGGCGGCTTGTAGGCTTTGACATCAGTTCAAATAACTATAGATAATGATAAAAAAGCTAGTGATTGTGATGAATAATGTTACGGGTAACTTATTTAATAAATTGAATGCGATGCACTGTGCTCGGCGAACAAGATGGCGACAGTTCATAAACAACCAGCCACCAACGTCGTCTTTTTCTTTCTTCCAGACAGGCTGTGCCGGCTGTTGCGTATCATAACCCCCCAGCGGTAGAAGCACCGTCTCGGTGCTTGAGCAACTCGGATGCGGTAGAAGGAGGGTGATAGGGCTTGAGTCGAGCTATGTGCACGATGTCACTCGAAGGTGACGATGATGACGTTGAATCGGCTGGAACGATCTCGTATGTAACGTCAGTCACCTGGCGAACGACGCGGTATGGTCCAGTGTAGCGTGACAGCAGTTTTTCAGAAAGCCCTACACGCCGAGTGGGGGACCAGAGGAGGACAAGGGAACCCGGTGAAAAGTGCACGTTTCGATGATGGGAATGGTAGAGCTGTCTTTGGTGCTCCTGTGAAGCCTGCAGGCGGCTGCGGGCGAGTTGGCGTGCGTGGTCGGCTCGCGCGATGGCTTCGCCGGCATACTACGTGACCGAGGGCAGCAAGGTGTCAAATGGTAGGGCGGGTTCTCGGCCGTATAGAAGATAGAATGGTGAATAGCCGGCAGTTTCGTGACGTGACGAATTATATGCGAACGTCACAAATGGCAAATGAACGTCCCAGTCCTGGTGGTCGGCCGCTACGTATTTAGAAAGCATGTCGGTTATGGTGCGGTTGAGGCGCTCCGTAAGACCGTTCGTTTGCGGATGGTACGAAGTGGCAAACTTGTGCTTGGTCGAGCAAGAGCGCAGGATTTCATCAACGACAGCTGATAGGAAGGTGCGGCCCCGGTCAGTGAGAAGTTGGCGTGGAGCTCCGTGTACTAAAATAATATCATATACCAGAAAGTCCGCCACATCGGTTGCGCAACTCGTCGGAAGTGCTCGTGTGATAGCGTACTGTGTCGCATAGTCAGTGCCGACAGTGATCTATTTGTTGCCTCAGCTGGAGATCGGGAATGGGCCAAGCAGGTCGAGGCCAACTCGAAAAAAAGGTTCAATGGGAATGTCGATCGGCTGAAGAAATCCAGCTGGTAGGGAAGATGGCTTTTTGCGGCGCTGGCAGGGTTCACAAGCGGCGACGTAGCGTCGAACAGAGCGGGAAAGACTAGGCCAAAAGAAACGACGACGTACACGGTCGTAAGTGCGAGAGACGCCCAAGTGGCCCGCCAAAGGAGCGTCATGAAGTTGGTTGAGAACAGTCGCACGAAGATGTGCTGGTATGACGGGGAGCAAGTTATGGCCATATGGATCGAGGTTACGGCGATACAGAATGCCGTCTTTTACCAGGAACATTTGTAGAAATGCATCGCGAGGCCTTGACTCAAGTTTGCCAATGATGGTTCGCAGGGAAGCATCCAGGCGTTGTTCGTGCCCAAGGTTGAGTAGCTGCGTCACAGACAGAAGGTCTGGAAAGGTGTCAGTATGGGCAGCCTCTTCCACTGGGTAGCGTGATAAGCAATCAGCATCTTGGTGTGACCGCTCTGTTTTGTACGTTACGGTGAACGTGTATTCTTGTAATCGTAGGGACCAACGAGCGAGGCGTCTTGTGGGATCCTTGAGCGAGGCCAGCCAGCAGAGCACATGATGGTCGGTAACTACCCGGAATGGACGCCCGTATAAGTATGGGCGAAAGTTGGCGACTGCCCACACGAGAGCGAGACACTCACGTTCCGTGATTGAATAGTTGCGCTCGGCTGTAGATAGCAGGCGGCTTGCATATGCTATAACACGGTCATGTCGGCGTTGATGTTGCATTAGCATTGCCCCGATGCCATGCCCACTAGCGTCAGTGCGAACCTCGGTTGGAGCTGATGGATCAAAATGGGCTAAAATCGGCGGTGTTGTAAGGAGCGTCGTGAGCTGAGAAAAAGATGAGGCTTGATCAGCGCCCCAGAAAAACGGGGTGTCCTTCTTCAGGAGGTTTGTGAGTGGGCGTGCAATGATGGCGAAGTCCTTAACAAACCGTCGAAAGTAGGAGCACAAGCCCACAAAACTGCGAACGTCCTTTGTTGACTTCTGAAGAGGAAAGTCCGTGACGGCGCGAATTTTCTCGGGATCCGGGCGGACTCCTGCGGCATCGACGATGTGGCCAAGTACGGTTATTTGACGACGAGCAAAGTGGCATTTCGACGAGTTCAGTTGAAGTCCGGCTCGACGAAAAACTTCAAGAATCGCCGATAAACGCTTGAAATGAGAGTCAAATGTGGGCGAGAAAACGATAACGTCGTCTAAATAACATAAGCAGGTTGACCATTTAAACCCTTGGAGCAACGAGTCCATCATTTTTTCGAATGGGGCCGGCGCATTACAGAGACCAAAGGGCATAACTTTGAAGTGATAAAGCCCGTCAGTAGTAACGAATGCGGTCTTCTCACGGTCCATCTCGTCCACAGCGATCTGCCATTAGCCAGATCGAAGGTCGATAGTTGAAAAATACGTAGCACCGTAAAGGCAGTCTAAGGCATCGTCGATTCTAGGCAACGGATAAACATCTTTCTTCGTAATTTTGTTGAGATGCCTATAATCTACACAAAAGCGCCATGTTCCATCCTTCTTTCTGATCAGGACGACAGGAGAAGCCCAGGGGCTACAAGAGGGTTTGATTATGTCTTTTGCAAGCATCTTTTCGACTTCCTGTTGTATGACTGTGCGCTCGGACGCGGAAACCCGGTATGGACGTCGGTGAATGGGACTCGCGTCACCGGTATTGATGCGATGAGTAACAACACTCGTTCGGCTTAAAGCCGTGCTGGCGAAGTCGAAAATGTCACTATAGGACTCCAGGACGTGACGAAGGGCTTCCGCTAGATCAGGAGCGAGGTCTAATGGTACTTTGTGGTCAACGTTGACGCCCGATGAACGTGTTAGAGTTAGTTCATTGTCTGAGGTGCAGCAATCATCCACTCTGAAGGGTTCAACCGTATGGTCCTAGAGCAGTAATTTCGGCCAGGGAGATACCTTGTGGAAGAATTTGGGCAGTGAGGGCAAAATTGACAATAGGAAGGCATGTGCGGTTTTCAACGATTGTAAAAATGGTGTGCGGAACAGCGACGCCATGCGTAAGCATCACGGCATGAATTGGTGCCACCATGTAATCGCCGTCAGGTACAGGTGGTGTAGAGAAGAGGTCGATATGTGTGACACAATTAGGCGGAAGGCGTGCGAAATCAATGCAGCAAAGGTGACTTTGGGGTGGGTTGGTCAGATCAGAAAGTAGAGGCATTTCAAGGTCAAGACAGCCGGCTGAACAATCTATAAGGGCCGAGTGAGCGATTAGAAAATCCATGCCTAGAATTACTTCGTCAGGACAATTTTCTATAACGGTGAAAAGAACAGCAGTGCTTCTATCGGCGATAGTCACACGGGCAGAGCACATGCCAACAATCGCGGCAGTTCCCCCGTCGGCGACTCGAACGGCTCGGTTCAAGGCGGGTGTAACAACTTTCTTTAGGCGGCGACGAAGAGCAGCACTCATTATGGACACATGCGCGCCGGTATCGATCAACGCGCGCACAGGTACATTGTCTAAAGTAATGTTCAACAGATTCCGGGTGGTCGGTAATGTTACACGAGGATTTCTTGCAGAGGTCGTCGTCAATGCAGCTTCAACTCCAGAAGCTGTACTGCCTAGATTTCCGGTCGGGGGCGCTGCGAATAGATCGGAGAGGCAGGACGGCATTGTGGGGGCGAACGAGATTGACGGCGAGCAGGGGATGGTGAGCGGGCGTAGCGAGGTCTCGTCAGAGGTGCGGCAGAATCAGAGGATGTGGTCGGCATAGGAGAACCAAAATCAAATGTTGAGGACGACTGGTGGTCAGAAGTGGCTTGGGTAGGAGGCCCATAGCGTACCGGCGGAGCCCAGTGATTGCGGCAGTGGCGAGCAATGTGACCGACACGTCGGCAGTTGAAGCATATGGGCTTGTCGTCCAGTGTACGCCATTCGGACAAATTACGCTCTCGAGAGTAGTTGGACCCAAATCGAGGAGCGGATGGACGACGATAAAAAGGCTCGGCAGAGTAGACTGGTTGAATGGGGTGTAGGCCGACGTTCGATAATTCTTGACGAACGACGGCTTGTATCAGTGAGATAGTAGTCGGTGAAGGATCAGGCGTTGGAAATGGAGTAGCTACTGGTTGGGCTGCCTCGACCTCACGACGAATGATGCGGGTGAGGTTGTCACATCGGGGAACTGGGCGGACGGAGTCATCACAAGAGGAAGTAGCAGCTGTGTTCGGCAGGCGCGTGATGCCGTGGGTGACGCGGCGGGCTTTAGCCTGTTCTAGACGGCGGCACTCTGTCAGGATCGTG